CCGAGTTGCCTTCTCAAAAGATGTATGACGCTGTTCTACTTTTCCGCCATTCTTTTTTAGCTGACACTGGTCGTTAATGTGCCAGAGAAGTTTAGCTCCAAGTCCTCTATGGATACCTTGGCAACTGCACAACCGTTGAGGAGTAAGCAAATTTCTGTCTAATCCTGTGTTGGAAGATACCTCACCTTGCACTCCTCCAGGCTGAGGCTCAAATCATTATCAGGTGTCCAGGACTCCGACTTCAGTATTCTGTCTTGGAGTAACCTAGGGTCCTCCATTGTTTTGATGTCATTAACAAATTGTAGAATGGACGAAGATTCTTGCTCGGGGAGGTCGTTTATGAATGGTAAAAGCAGGAGTGACCGAAGAATCGCTCCTTGAGATATTCATATACTGGCGCTCCTCCAGGCGGACCGAACTCTATTCAGCTTGGTGCAAAACTCTCTAGTCCCTAAATATGAAGTAAAGCATCCTTCAAGTTGTTCGGTGGTGCCCACCTTTTGAGTTGAGCAATGTCCAGAAAGACTGGCTGCTTGTTGTCCTATCTACGGGTTTGGTCGTTGAGAGTGGTCATCAGGTTTGTGGCACGTAACCTCCCGGTTCTGAAGTAGTGTTGAGTGGAATGAACGATGCTAGTTCTGTTTAATTAGTCCCAATTCACATCTGCAACCAGACTTTCCAGTACCTTGGATTGTATGGGTGGTAACACCATTCGTTTGTAATTACATGGGCGTTTTTAGTCTCCTGCTTTCAAGATCGGTCAATGGATAGTGCACTTCTATCCTTTAGGCAGTCGGCCTACTTCCAGCGAGTGCGTAAACAGATTATATATGGGCACGCCTTGCAGTTAGGCATAATTTCGTAGGACCACCGGTCTTATATCGTCCTAGGCTGGAGATTTTTCTATTTTCAGTGTGCATAGTTTCACAAACACTTGGTTTGAAGAAGCCTTTGTATTCATCAGCTTTGTATCACAGTCTCGGAACTGTGTTACGTTACTGGACGTTAATGGTCGACAGATTACTGTATTGAGCTGCTTGTCAAATCAGTTACTGAATAGTTCCGCTATCTGCATGCTGCTCAAGGTTTCACTGTTGAGTTTTGCATTGAGGTCGACACCTTTATTCATTGGTTTTCCTTGTGACGCGAACCGATATAAACATTTTAGGTTACAATTTAGCTGTTTAGTCGGGTTTCTATGATATTTGAATATGTTGTTGCGGAAGTAGGTCACAAAGATTGCTGCGGAAGTCCGACTTTCTAAAGGATGTGCTTTACTTTTTTTTTCAGTTCTGTCATCAACGGAACCTAAGATTCAGGTTCGGATTTGTAGTTTTGAGGAGACCAGGCTATGAGCCTGTATTGATCCTTTTCGACTTAGTCCTTGTGCTTCTCCAGTCATCTCTCGAATAAGTCAATTGATGACGTGAACGGTTTCTTCTGTTGGTCCCTTGCAGTTGACGAATTGACACGAAATCCAGTACGGGTCCAAAGCCGTTTTTAATATCCCGTATAGCATGATTAGATCTCCCTCAGTCTATGATAAAATTGGGAGAAAATATCCCACCCTTGAATTCGTTTTCCATATGCTAACTATCGTAGAAATCATACGAGCGACCGTACTCATAACTCTCTCCATAAGGTCCAAGTCAGTTTTCGGATAGGGATTCGCCTATTGGGCACATTTTCCTGGTTTGAATCTCACTAGAGCTGTATATTAGGTTGTGAGCGTAGATTATGTTGAGAGTTCTACATACTGCCCAGTGTCCTAACACTTCTGGCTGCAACCAGTCGACAGTGTTCTGTGGTCTACACTCGTAACTTACGGTGACTTGTAGACCGTTGTGGGACGACATTGGGAGTAGAATCCCACCGGCATATTCGGTGTTGTCGTCCGCATGCCCTATTTCCATGCTCGCACACTTATGCAGGCTGATATACATCATCCATTTCTGTGATCAGGTTAAAGACTGTCGAGGGGTGTCTCAAGTGTACACACACTGCCGTCATTTCCAATTTCATGCCAGAGTGAACCTCATTGGCTCGGAGGATCATGGAGGATTTCGCGATTTTCGAGAACTCATTCATGCGTAAGAGAAACAGCCAGGGACACAATACTGCCTCTTACGGTCCTCCATTCTGCGACAACTCGAAGAAGAGAGTTAGAAGCTGATCTTTATTATTCGTCTCCCACAGACAAGAAACTGCTCCATGCAAGTAAACTATCAATGATTCCGAAACTTCCCGGTTTTGTGAGCAAACTGTAATGGGGGATCTTTGCGAATGCCTTGATAAAGTCGTTGATGGTGACATTTACAAGTGTCTTATCATCCATAGGCAACCCAAATTTCTCTGACTACGGGATTCGTCAAGTGTGTGAAAATCCGTGTTGCTAAAGAGACAATTGGGTCTTGTTTTCTTAGCGGATCGTTATAGCATCTTTGATTTCTCTCTGATGTTTTTGTTGCAGTGGAGATCAGGCCTACTGGTCTGTAGTTTGCTGGGCCGTGACCTAGAACGTGGACTATATGGAAATGTAATACAGCTTCCCCCCAGTCGCATGGGAGTGTACCTTTATTGATCATTGGTCTAAGTATGATAAGAAACAGGTGGGGTACGTAGGTTGCAAGCTCTGAGCGGTAGTGGTTGCAGCACTTTCAGTTCTTTTGATTCATCCATCCATCCAGATTACTTCACATCCTAGGCATGTCATTGCAATCAATGTCCACCGAGTTCACTATGTTGAGTGTCAGTCCTCTATAGTTGGAGTTGTATCCACTGGAGATCCTTGCGTGAAATCTTCAGCAAAATATCTGAACATAACCTCTACTCTGTCCTTATCATCTTCAATTAACTAGTTGGTTTTGGTTTCTTCATTTGAGTGTGAAAAAGAATAACCTGTTTGAGTGTTCTACTGCAGCTGGAGTAAGACGCATTTCAAAACATACTCTGGACCAGATGATAGGGACGATGTGGTTTTTGCGGCCTATGTAATGCAGCTTTATTTCAGGAGTACAAGGGTTAGTGACTGGATTCGAACACGTTTTCTTCCATTTCAGTAGACTTTGGATTTCATTTATTATCCATGGAAGACAGTTTATTAGTCGTCTTCAAAAACTCCATTGAATAGACGGTTGAGTCGCTCGGACGTACAATTGTTTGAAGGAACACCGTGCGGCCTCAACTGAAGCTTCAAGATTACCAGTCCAGTTCTCCAGATAGGCTACTTACCTGATAAGTGACAAGTTTGCATTCCACACATTGAGTCTGACTGGGGTATAAGCCTGAAAAGAATCGCAGCATGATGAAGGGATGGAATGAACCAGACGAAGGTTACATCACCTGTGTGACAATACTGAATCTAGAATTGGTGAAGCATCCTGATAATTACATCGGGTTGCTGTCCTAACCTGGTGTATAAGAGCCAAGGGAACTAATATTTCCACTAACATATTATCGAACGAATTACTTGGTCCTATTTTTAGCTCCACAGTCAGCTGATGGTGCGTTGAAGTCTCCTGCAAAAAATACTGACGCACAAACTCCAGTTTTTTGAAGTTCATGAGTATTCCTTAGCACGAGGTCTCTCTCCTTTGTTTACTTATACATGACTAAGTAGTCGGCAGGAATTGCCGCTTATTTCTCTAATCTATACTTATTGAGTAGAATGACCCCTAATGTATTTTTCCGTAATAGCTTATTGGTCAAACTTTGGACTTTACCAAGGTCGTGATCAACAAGGCAACGCAGTCCTATATCTTACTTTCTCCACCTTTGTGGAAGATAACAGACTCTTCACAGAGTTCTACTTTATCTTTCCTCTGAGGAGTAATGACAGTCGACTCTAAGACGAGCTGGTTTCTTAGTGTGCCATTTAGTTTCGACCAAATGCCGCTTGATCCGCCTTCATCCCTTTCATCGGAAGCTGACCTTGTTTGGTCTTGTGACCTGTAGTTTTCAAACTAAGTCTGCTGACTCTGGATACGAGAACCTGAAGATACTCGCTTTATCTAACTTTACCTCTTCTTTTCAGTTGTCATCATACTTTTTAGGTAGTTTTATAAATTTGACTTATAGTCTTTCGTACTGCATTCTTAGAGATCTGCACGACAACTTGTGTGTCAACTAATGCAGTTATTAAAGTTTTCGCAATAATCACCTTTTCTTTTAGATGACAACTCTGACCAATCTACGAATGTCCGAACAGCACGATAGACAGAACCAGATACTTCTAGTATTGCTGTACCCCTTGCATCATGTAGGCGTAATATTAGTACAGCTGTCTTCGTACTACTTCCTGTTTCATCAATTCCATACGAGGTCACTGTGAAGCGGACATCCTGGTCTATCTAAGGCATTTCTTTCGACAGCTTGGATTGACCATCCCTTAGAAGTTTAGGTAAAATGTGAAGTTAGAACAACCAAAAAGCAAAGGGGACTTTCAAGAAGCTATAGCTCTGATAATTATCTTTTTAAACGTCACTACTAATGTTTCAAAAACTGAGAAAGTACTTCAAACCAGTAAGTGAGTAACTTTAAGAAATTCACCCTGAAAAGTTTGTTTTACTGTGATCGAGAATTAATTCCATAAAGCAAAACCGAAGTAGGCTTTACTGTGTAAACACGACATATGCCAAAAACTCAACTAAATATGGAAAAGTCACTTCCTGTTTTTAAGTCCTGTCACTTTTCGTTGTTACCAGAACATTTTTAAAAACTTTCTTCTCACTTTTAAGTGTATTGTACTTATTATGGTTACCGTATCACTCATTTGTTTTTGGCTCATAGTGAATTTGTTGTACAATATGATGAACGTACTAAAAGCAGAACGCTTTAAGGCAATGATTGTGACTGAAGTGCTGTAGTTGTTAATAATTATTTGATCTTCTATAGTATTGTAATCTTTTGTTGTCAACATATTTTTTGTAAGAATATTCTAAGCTTGTAATATATGTGCTTCATGTTTTCTAGATCCCAAATACTGCCACTCTACCGGTGGTATGAATTCCTCTCCCGCGTTCACTGCTTCTAGTTTGCAAGCTGGAAATACGGGCTCCGCTACGTGGATTAATAAATTGAAAATCGTAGGACGAGGACAAAATTGGGCAGTTGCACCATGTGAACCATTTTACTTAATGGGCACTGAACCACCTGCTCCGGATGCAGCTTTAACAGGTGCAAAGAATCTGATCGAACACTATGGTCTTGAGAATGCCTATCAAAAATTTTGTGGTAAACGTCTTAAAGAGGAACTAAATGCTTTCTTACCTCATTTATCCGGGAATATTGATGTCCCAGCATCAGTTGATGGAAGTGGATTGATGGTGAGTTTTTAGAATTTCACTGATGAAAATTTTAGTGTATCATAAGGCACATAAACAGACTCAGTAGGTTAGCTCATATCTGATTTTTGTTGGTGGCTTTTCTCTGAATAATTTCTTGGGAGTTGGTTTAACACTCACTATCTAGATCTAATTAATCGCAGTATGATTGCATGTTTTGAATAAGTTAGAGAGTATTGATTTCTTTGAACTAACTGTATCTTTCTGATAGAAGTCAATAGAATTGTTAGAAAATCTTTTTTGCTAGTTATCTAACTATCCTCCATAAATGAGCGTGTAAAAGTATTCGCAATTTTTATCCATGGCTATTCATTTGATAGCTTCAAGCTAATCAAAAATCTCTCAGTTTATACAGTTTCCGCACTTTTAACACCTGATATTGTCATAAAGTGAGGTAGTGAAATGTAGTACTATGCAACGTAGATATTCAAATAGCACCAATGGCGTGTGAATAATCCGTCTAGGTTCTCGACTTTCAACCAGTGGGTCTTGAGTTCGAACCTTATCTCACCTACCATAAATTTGCACAACTGGAGTGGTTTTCTTAGCCCTAGCAGAACGTATGGGTCTCAGGCAAATCCATAAACATGCTCATGGTTGCTAAAATAAATTATCGTTTAATATTTGCGTATCAACTAAGCATAAGTAATTGTTATAAACATATTGTTTATATCTCATCAGCTTCTTCTGAACTAATGGATGCATGTTAATCCATTCCTACAGACTCCGTGAACAATGAGATGAGAAAGCACCTGAAACGTAAACTGATTGACAGTCTACTCGATGACCATGGGTAAAGAAACCTAAGGAGATGGTGATACGTAACGGTAGATAGTTATTTAGACTGATCAATAAAACTAGTGTGACCATAACGGAGGAGGATGGGTCTGCAACCTACTGGTAAAGAGGAACGATGGATGGGACACCTCAAGAAACAGTTTGGCTGACTTCCAGCTGGTCTTCGGTTTCCCATTATTCAGTTGCATTTTAAATGAAACAGGGATAGGCCCTCCAACTCTCTTCGAAGATGAAATGGCGGTGAGTAACCTGAAACGTGAAGGAGCGAATGGATTAGTACTGAAGATATATAAGGATGGTCAAAGATTATTGGTTTGATTAACCGTAGTGTTAGCTACTGTATGTGAACCGAATGTGATTCCCTCTGATGAGTATCAATCTTTCATCATCTCAATCTTCAAGAAGAAAGAAAAATCTTGTGATAGCTCCAGAGAAATCAGTTTGGCGAATATTGTATCCAGAATCTAGGTTCCATAACGGCAAACCCGAGGAACCAGGCAAGTTTCAGACATGTTCGTGAGTGTGTTGACTAGGAATTCACCTTCCACCAGGTTCTGGGACAGGCAAACTTTCCGGTACCCGACAGTAACTGTATTCCTTGACTTGAAGGCATTGTTCGACTCCATTGATCGAGACGTCTTATAGTAATGTAACTCACTGAAAGCGGTGGTGGCTAAGTACAATACTCTACTTGAGACCCTATATGAACACCCATGGATGCGTCATAGCCTATAATAAAGTACTAGGTCGAGCAGTGTCTATCAGAAATATCCATTATCCCTGTTTTTGTTTAACCACATCATAGATGTTCTTATGAAAGTTTCATTTCTCTCATCTGAATTCACAGAAATTCACCTTTTCGTATGAGAATCATTAGTCGAATTGAAGTACTCAACAGACGTGTTCCTGTTATGTAAAGATGCTGAAAAGATCAAGTCTTCTCGACTCTCTGAGTCCAGACCGATAGCTGCTACCTTGACGTAAGGGTTGGGCTTACATAATGCAATGACCCAACGAGCTGTGCTAGCGGAACGCTTGTTCTCTCGAGATCCTACCATCCCAGTAAGATCTGTTAGTTAGTGTTAGGATGAAAAGCAGGTACTGTTGTGATTCAAATGACTACACTATGATGGGGGTCTGAGGACAAAGTCGTGTTGCTGCTAGCTGAGTGGGTAGTGATGACCATCAGTAGTGCCACGCTGACGCTGGCTACTCAACGGGAAGGAGGTGGGGTTAGAAAAGGTCGGTCCCCAAAATAACACCCTCGCTGCCTCACGGTCTTCCAGTGCCGGCTGTATGGCTCCTCTCTGGCCAGTGTTCAAACAATCAAACTTCAAAACAACAAACCACAAAAGGTTGTGTGTGACAAGCCTCAAGCTAATCCGGCACAGGTTCTGCGGTCACAAAAATATTTTTCTCTTCAAGGCGCCTTAAGAAGAAGTGGCATTCCGTTGTATGTACAGTCGGAAAGTGTCAACTGTCTGCACACTCTCAGCAGTACATAAGGCCCAATCAAACATAACCTATCCCCCTCAACTCTGCTTCTTTGCCTTCACCTTCTGATACTAATATTAAGTCTCTTACACCTTCTTCAACCTCTCATCTTGTGGCCATTCCAAATGATCAAAGCCATCGAAACCTCATTCCTGGTCTCCTTAGAACCCACCATCAATTTAATGTTCGAGCTTTCAACGTCCCAACTCTATACCAAATGAGACAGCAAGCATCGCTCTCCAGAACTGTGGAATCTCTAGTCATGGGTGTATGCTGTGCATCTGAGACATGTGTACAGGATCCGAGTGTAGTTATTAATTAACCTCACCTAACCAGTGTGGTGAATCTTCAGAGTTCACCTGACGAGTATCCAGAGGCCCGATGGCTAGCTCTTTGTGAACTCGCCGGTATAGACATAGCACTGAGTTTTAGTGTAGAAAGTGCGTTTCTTGACTTGATACCAGTCAAGAGTTGTTTGTGTTGTTTGACTGAATAGATCTGTACGAACTAGGAAGGATCGTGAGACTAGGCGATGCTCATTCATAATCTTCGCCAATGCACCCACTGACTGTAGTTCGGATGATGCAAATGATGAATTCTACGAGCTGTCAATTTTGCTACAGAAATCATAATGTTCAGATGTTGTCACGATGCCAGGTGACTTTAACGCTCAAATAGAGCTAAACCAGTGAGAACGGCAGGCATCTTGATGGTATTTGGGGAATCGCATGTGAATGAACCGACAACAGTGATCGTCTGTTGAAATTTTGTCCTGACAATGAATTGTTTCTGGCCAGCACTAACTGTAGGCATAAGGAGAGACATTGTCTGATATGGTGTCCGGCAACTTCAAATCAACGATGGACACAGATAGATCATATTGCCGTAAGCCATCGTTGGAGAATTGCTGCTCTATCTTAAGTGTTAGTTTGGACTTAAATGACTCACTATTACGGGTTCGTATATATCTGGGCCTAACTGGACGCAGGAAACAGGCAATAGTAAAGCTTAACAAGTCTGCCTTTAGGGAAGAGAAAGCTAAGCATTTATCTGAGCGTGACAGCAATACTCATCCTAAAGAAATCTGGCGTCATATAAAGTTTGCTGTTGAAACAGCGGAAAAGACGATTGGCAACTTACACCCGAAGGTTTGTAAACCTCACTGGATTTCCGCGACGTCATCCAAACTGATTGTTGCGAAAAGACTGGTCCCAGCTTGCTCTGACCATGATGAAGAACAAAAGCAACTGAAGCATAAATTGGCCACAAGTCTTCGGGTCGATCGCAAGCAGTGGTGGGTGGCGAAACAGAGATGAAGGCAGCAGCAGTGGGTAACACTGGTAACTATGTAGGCTGATTAAGGATATCGGCAAGCAAAGACGATGTTGAGTGAAACCATCACCGAAAAGAATGGGACGCTGATAACCTCCCTGGATAGACGGCTAGAACTTTGGACAGAACACTTTGAAGCACATTTCAACTGACCCTCAGCAACGCTTCAGTTGCTCAACATCCAGCCTGAACCTGAATGGGACATAGATGCCCGTTCTCCAACTCTTTTTGAAGTTGAAAAGATTGTATCGAACCTGAAACGATGCAGAGCAGCAGGACCTGACAGTTTGCCACAGTAAGTTTTCAAGCGGGAAAAATCCTCTTGTGACAATCATACGGAAGATGTTCGACTAATATTGTGTCCTAGATCCTAGCGTCCATAGCTATCTGACGCCTAACTGGATCTCAAGAACAACAAACTGGACAAAACCAGGCAAGTTTCAGACCTGGATGAGGGTACATCGATCATATTTTCACCCTCCAACAGGTTCTGGAACACAGGCATACTTACCGGAGGTCAGTGCTTGCAATATTTCTTGACCTGAAGGCGGCGGCATTTGACTCAGTCGACCATGAGGTGTTGTGATAGTGTCTGACTGAGAGAGGAGTGCCGAAGAAGTGCTTAACGCTAATCACAGCTCTCCACTCGAACTCATGCAACCGTGTTGGGGCTAATGGGGATTTGTCTTCAGAATTGACGACAACTGTCCACTGTCCGTGTTCCTATATAGCTTTGTCATCGAAATACTGATGGACATAAGCTTAGGTAGGTCTGATTTCACAGGAATTGACCTACTCCCTTGAGTTCCTCTGGTCGACTAAGGGTATGCAAACAATATTGCCCTGCTTGGTGAAGACGCTGACGCAATGCAGGGTGTTCTGGACACCTCGAGCGGAAATCTAAGTATGTTCAGCACACGTTTTGTTAGCAGCTGTCAGATGTGAGATGATGTTCCGGGACTGTTCTGCAACCATGTCCAGTTTAATGATAGGCAATGAAGTGGTAGAATGTGTTGACCAGTTCGCTTTTTTGAGGTGTTGGATCGGCCTGGGCGGGGTGGTTGCTGGCGAAATCTCAGCTCGGACGCAGAAGGTCCACTTGGCATTTGCCAAGTTGCGTCATCTCCGGTGCCCACTGGTGAGATATCCGACTCTATCAAAGGATCAGTATGCTGTGCTGCAGTCCATTTTGTCCTGTTAAATGTCAGCCAGACATCGTCGTTAAACTTGAAAGACTTGAAGCGATTACTGGGTTTTGATCACAGATGTCTTCCTTAGTATTGCTCGTGTTTGGTGGAATCATCGTGTGGGTAATATTGAGGTCAGGCGAAGGGTTCTAGGCAAGAGAAGCAAGTCGATTCCTGAGGTTGTGAACTTTCATCGACTGAGATGGCTTGGGCATGTACTATGCATGTCGAGCCAGCGCCTACCTCTAAGTACCATGCTAGGGGGAGGTTGAATTAGGTTGAAAGAGAATTCAGGGTGGGTGGACCAAAAGGTGGCACCATTTGATGAAATCTCTTACTGTTGGTCTGAGCCGTATGAGGAGATGCAGACTGCCTGGGATCCCAGAGACGAAAGAAATCAGTGGTTGAGGGCTCTTGATGAGATGGCTGAAAATCAGTCACAATGGTGCAGATGTATTCACTTATTCACGTCTTCTAAAGGTTGAATATTCTTACTAACCTTTATCTTCAAACTGCTTGTTCTCTCTACTTTGATATCACTCTTTCTATCCACCTGTTCTTTGTGTACTACTGTGAAGTGTGGCAACTTGAGGTGATACACGTGTGTACGAGGTTCTACGTTGATTTCACTAGTTATTCAGGTCTCTAAGTGGCGATTTGAGCGTTTAGGATGGTTTTCTCACCACCCAAACGGAAATTACTTCTGCAGGACTGGTGTACGTTAATACCTCATCTGAAAATCATGGGTTGAAATGACCGAGTACAGTGGGCATTTCACTTGAGGAATCGAATCAACCCTGATGGGTCAGTGGGTCGATACGAATAGAAAGAATCAAATTGATTTTTGCCAACTTACACCATCTGCGACATAGGCGAGATACTCGAATGTGTTGCACAGGGGTCCACGATGTTCTACTTTATGGAGGGTAGAACTATGGCTCACCGCCTACTGTACACAATACTCCTGACAGGGTGTCTATTCAACTAAATGGATATGGATCACTGGCTAAAACATTTATCTTCCAACCCATTTGTTTCTGAGTTCAAACCAGAATTTTACTTCAACCTGGGTAATTGGGTAATGCCATAGGTCCTTACAAAAGAAGTGTCACTGGTGGTTCAATACATGGACCTGTACCGTATTGATTTAAATTATTATCACTGTTATTTTAATCAATTTTATGGTGAGGTTTATCATTGTAATGGTTTTCTTAGTAGGGAGTTACATCAATAATGCAGCAGTATAATCTTCACAAGTAAATTTGTTGGGACTAGACGTTGAGTTAAAGAAAAAATGCAAGGCAATCACATCGGAATTCAATGTAAACTAAAGATATTTAAACAGCAATACGTATAAAAAATTAAATTCACTTGAAAACTGCAAAACGTTTACTCCGCATTGTTGGTATTACCTATTATCGTGTAAAGGAAAAAGAGAAGTGAAAATGACCCTTTTGATTGATATTTTCACCGTAACGTTATTAATTTGTACAATCTGGTGTACAAAATGTGTTTTTATAATCACAATTCAGTTGTGGTTGATTGGTCTTTACCGTCGAATAGAAATCACCAGGTCATGCGTTTTTAACTTCTCTAGATCTACGGATGTTATTACTGCCAGTAAGCACCATTAACTTTCGTATGATAATTGTGGCTCATAGTTTGATACACAAATTTGCAAGGAGTTACTGGGTTACATTATGCTCGTTATGTATCCCTTGAACTCAACAGCTTGAAAAGGCAATGCTTGTGGAGTATGAACAATAGAAACAGGGTTCAAAAATTAGCTGGCATGCTGTGAAAGGCACATCGGAACGATAATTTTCCGATAGAACGAAATGCTACTTACCACCTGCGAATTCAACAACTTTTGGGTTTCAGCACATATCTAAGTTGTTTGTGTTTCAAATGTTCACAACCTATAAGTAACTGGGCATGTTAGTTTTCGTGTCACTAAATATCTATAAAAGTCATAAACTAGTGCATCTTAATATTGTTCTATATATCTCTAAATGTTTTCTTTTGCATGAAATCTCTCTTATGTTCTACACTACACTTTAGAGTCTAATTGAAAGACCTCCTATTCGAGGTAAAGAACTGAGACCTTTCGCACCCAGTCAGTTGGACCATGCATTCCGATTGCATCCTGGGCCTTTACCCCAAGAGTATTCTTCTCTTTTCGCAGCAGCACCTTCGAAACATATCCATCGCAGTGCTCAAGATCAACAGCAACTTTTAGGAAGTGGCAATTGTAACTCAGGTTCACGTATGCCAACTACAGCCGCCGCTGGTCTATCTGGTACTGGATCATTTCATCGCAGGCGTCGTCGGCATGAAGTTCATCGAGGAGCGCTTGCGTCTGGTAGTGATAGTAGTTCTTCTATAGGAATATCAGGTGTTGGGGGAAATGTCACTCCGAGCCCAGCATCATTTTTCACAGGACCACCTAATGCTTACTCTCAGCTAGGAACAGCTCATGTGGCGGCACCTGTATCTTCAAATTCGTTACCTCCCCAAGGTCATACCGTTCCTTCGTGTTTAACAGCTTCAGCATCTTGTAGTAACTCATCTGGACCAACTCAATCATCACATGTGTTAGATAACAACTCCGTTTCTCAACCTGTCAGCTTGAGCAAACCAGTGGACCATCCACCTGGTCTTATCCCGGTATCGGTTTCTCATCCTCCATCAGCATCATCTATCTCAATATCATCTTCAGATCCACCTCCACCTCCACCACTTTTAGCTCCTATACATCAATCAGTGGGACAGAAAATACCACAGTCAGTCCAAAATATTCCACCCATTGTGAATTCTGTATACAATAGTAGTACCGTTGATATCAACGTAACACCAACTAAGTCAAATCCACCCGCTCCACCAGTACTCCACTCTATTCATCCATCAACTACAAATTCCATGAATTCATCTGTTCCTCAAGCCTATGGTCACCACTACCATCAATTGTATCATCAGCAACAACAACTACCGCATCATCACCAACACTCATCAGCCTTGCATCCGTCTCAATCCTACCCATCCTCATTGAGCCAGAATTCATCTAGGTCAATGTCACCAATACCGATGGAGACGAACTCATCTCCACCATCTCCAGATTTGTATAAAATACGTCGTTTAGATATGACTGAAGAAGAACGTCGAAAGAAAAGGCGGAGAGAGAAGAAGCGTAGAAAAGATAAGGAATGACTCTTTTAGTTTTGTTGTCACTGTAGTGTTGAATTCAGCACTTCTTACTGTACATGGTCCTTCTGTCGATTTTTTTATATTTTTCTTTCGACAACTGTGTATTTAATAAAAACATCTTTTTGAGCACATAAATACATTACATCAACTCAGTAATCATATACAAGCCATATTCAGTTGTGTGTAAGGTGTGACAGTAACCGATTATGCAGCGCTAAGCATGCGAAGTGGGTTTGAATGTTTTTGTCGAAATTGATGGGTAAACAGATCAAAAAAACTTTCCAGAGTAGTATGTCATTCCAAACTGGCTAGAAAAAGTGCAAACATGGGAGCAAACAAGAAAATACTGACGACAGAGTCAATATTAGTATTGGGCTTGGAAATATTGCATAGTAATACAAGTTACTAAACTTCACATCAAGATGGAAAAGTATGCAGAAAAATGTATGGAAATTTATGAGAAGAGGGCTAAGGCAAAAAAAACGAAATATCTATGATAATTAGGTTGAAAATAATGTGTGGACGCAATTGAGTCAATGCAATCGATTCTAAACCATACTATCTAGTGTCTCCAACCGCCGATGTCGCTTGTCATGTGGATCTATGACTAGTTCTTATGTTCTTACAGGGATTTCAATGCACAAGTGGATAGGCTAAGAAAAGCACCTTCGGAATCTCAGCCGAAAAAAATAACTGGTCCTCTGCTACAACTGTGCTTAAACAGTTATTTAATTCTGGACAGCATGAACTTCAGACAGAGACATTACCTGACGTGGTATCCACCAACCTCAACTCAGCGGTGGAAGTAGGTAGACCATATTTCTATCAGTTATCTCTGGAGAGGGTTGGTGGAAGATTGCTGATTCTTCTGGAGCACGTGTATGTCTACATATAAATGAACGTAGAAAACTATAGCAATCAGGCCATTGCGGGTGCAGCTCGACAATGAGAATACTTAGGCTGCTTTTAGTGAGAAATTCGATAGACAGTTATCGAATAGAACAACGTTAATCGTGCAGAATGAGCCTGGAGCCATCTCCAGTCTGCTGTAAAAAACAGTTACCGACCGTAACTGATTCTCAGATTGGTTATAACGGGATCTCATCAGCTTCTCGATTAATGGATGCACGCGAACGCTCTGCTACAGGCTCCGAACTCAGTGATGAGCGAAAGCAACTCAAATGTAAACTGATAAAATGTCTACGTAATAATCACGAACAGCAGTGGACAACGATGACTAAATATGTGGAAAAGACATCGGGGATATGTAACGTCAGATAGTTGTTTAGACTGATCAAGGGACCCGGGTTGAAAATACCAATGGTCAGTGAGGATATAGCGGAGAAAGATAGGTCTGAGATCCACTCGAAGAGAAGACGACAGGAATGAGGGGCGGAAGACTTCAAGAAACAGGTTGACTCTGGCTTCCAATTACTATCCTGTCCTCCGCTACTCAGCTGTGTCGTAAATGGAACATCGAGATAGGACCACCAGCCCTTGAAGAATTCGAGAAAGCTGTAAGCAACCTGAAACGATTAAGGGCAGCAGAGTAAGATAGGCTAGTACCGGAACTATTTGAGGACGGTGGTCGTACATTATTGGTCAGGTCAGCTGAAGTGTTAACTAGCGAAAGTGAATTGGAAATGAACCTCTGTAACCGGTCTCAATCAAGAAAGGTGAGCGGTCATCTTGTGGTAAACACAGAGGAATCAGCCTGATGATCATAATTATATAGGTAAGTCTTAGTATAATTCCAGCGTGTTTAGAAACTTACCTATATAATGAATCAACCTGACTCGGCGCTCAACTTCTTTCAAGACATTCGTAACAACTATGGCCTGGATGTTTATAGTGATGATCGTAATGTCTAATATTTTGGTTTTTTTACCAATCGACATCTGAGTAGAGCCCAGTAACAACAAACGCGGGAAAATCAGGCAGACTTTAGATCTGGTCGTCTGTCTGCTGACCAGATGTTAACACTTCCCTATGTTCTGGAAGGGTCTCGGATAAGCGCGTCACTCCGTTGAAGGCTCCGTACTCAATGGGTGTGATACAGGAAGTGAAATGGTTGGGCGCGTTGACCACTTCACTTGTCTGGGTAGTCGGATCAGTTACCGAAGAAATTCCCTAACGGATACAAAAGACTAGCTTTTCTTTCGCTACTTAACACCATTTGTAGCGCCGCTGTGATACCCGGTTGTCGATTAAGGATCGGGTGTACTGCGTTGCAGTTCGCTCTGTTCTACCGTATGACTGTGAGACATGTTCATTAAAGATAAGTGTTAATGGACATCATGATTATCTTCGCAGGGTAGAGGTGTGTCGTGGTGTCACCACGTCAGTGATGCAGAGATCAGGCGTAGAGTTTTGGGGAGGAGAGGAAAGTCACTTGATGCCGGTGTGAACCTTCATCAACTCAGGCGACTGGAACACGTGTTACACATCCCTAGTCACCTGTCTCGTTCCGTAATTTTAGATGAAATAGGTTCAGGCTGCAAAAAGGTTAGTGGGGGTCAAGCTAAAAAGCATCAGTGCATGAAGTCTTTGACTGTTAGTCTGAGCTATGTAAGGAGATGCGTACTAGCCGATTAGAGTCTACGTGACAATATAAACGAGTGATTGGGGACTAGGTGACATGACCCAGAATCCATGTCACTGGCGTAGATCCATCCACATATTATTTTCATCTTAATCGCCATACTGAATTCAGTATTTTCTAATTCCTCCTCGTTATCTTATCACGACTTCCTACCATTTTTGGCTGTTTTCTCCATTCCTTTATTTTTCATCTTAGTGTTTTCTGGCTTGACAAGATGTGGCAACTTGGAACGTTATGTAGTAATGCATGATCCTGTATTAATGTTGATTATGGTCATGTCCTGAACAAGCCTGATTGTTTTGTATTTGCTGTTCCCAAGCTTCAAGCAGGTTTGGTACTGGTATAAGCAAGCTTTCGGGAGTAGGCAGAATAAACATCAGTAGTAATAAAATATAGCATGTGTATATATACTCCAGTATAATAGATTACGAGTCATGTTACCGAAATTTCCTGATCATCGGTTTGTTACGTAGCACACTGAAACAGTATCGTCTACTAGATGACAAGAAGTTGTATGATTTCCTTGATATGAAAATGAGCAATAAATTGTACTTAAAATATCAACTATTGAAGAATACTCTATCAATGTATGCTAAATTAAATAAACTAATCTAGTGTGGAATTACAATATCAAACCTGCTTAACTTACAGTCTTCAGATGACGTATTCCTGCTATGTGAAAATTTAGGGACTTCTGAACGCCCTGACTAACAATCGTAGTGTGTTTGGCATACCTTCTGCAGTTGTCCAGTGTAATACGATCGTGCAGGAGTGATTTGTATCCACTCCTGTTTTAAAGGTAGGGAGTAAAGTAATTGAACGTGTTGACCACTTCACATACTTGGGGACTTGCATCAATCCTAATGGATTAGTGACTAATGAAATCTCAATACGAATATGAAAGCCAGTTTAATATTTGACTTCTCTTTCACTGTAGACATATCTGACTGCAAATCAAGTCTGAGTACGCTATTCAATAGTTTGCTCTGTTATACGACTAAGATATGGCTTTCTAAAGTGGAAGACATGGGGAAGTCAAGATTTTTTGACGATGTGTTTTGGGAGTATTGCATACGTGTGGTCTTTGGTTGTTGGTTTGAGCGGCTGAGGTTATCGAGATGTTAGAATTCAATGGCTGAACTCTTCGTGACGCGGCTACAATTCAGCGACGGTGACCCAGATATGTACACTCCAGTATTCTTAAAAGTTGTAAACCTTTTAATAATCTTTATTCACTAATCTTCTTGTTTCTCATACACTTATGCATAATTCAATATCACTTTTTTTCTACTCATTTCCTCTTTCTCTGCTGTCATGATGTGTGTCAACTTGAACTGATGCACTTGTGTTCAAGGCTCCTATATTGATCTGTATGTTTTGAATACGCATGGCAATGCAGGCCAAAAAAATTAACCGCAAGATATTCGAATAATAGTCATCTGTATATCTATCATATTTGATACATATGGAGTATTTCATCAGTAGCTTCTATGTGACTTCTTGCGTGATTTTCTAAAAATATGATTGGTAAATGAAAAACGCCATGATGTCGGTTGATGTTAGATAAAAAAGGGTGTTCACATGACTCAAAACACTATTGTTTGGCAAACAGGTGGCTAACCTTTGCAGAATGCATTCGATTCGTCTCAATATGAGTGAAATGAGATGTAACTCAGTGACTACGTGTAGTCTAGTAAATCAAGCAGTCGATAACATCTATTATTATTACAATGACAATAATTGATTGTCCAGGTCTGGGTAGTTGGAGCACGGTTCAAATCCTTGACCAGTTGGTTGAAAGTCTAGGCCGATAAGCCATAGCTCCAGTATAGCTAGTAAGTGGTCAACAGACACCTATCAGATGGACAGACCTTTCTTCGAACAATAAAAGATAAACATAGGAATGATTTTTTTCTTATTTTGTACATTCACTCGACAATATTTTTTCTACTTATCTTCACACTGTTTACGAAATGATTAGTAACATTGTCGGACGAGTTTGTACCGTTCGGTGTAAAAGTCTTCTAATTTCATTAGAATATGGAAGTTTATGAATGATTAGGAAACGATAGAAAAATTTTTGTTCATAGGTAACGCGAGAATAATACTTATCATAGTCCAAAGACTTAAAACTGGAATGATGCCCAGTGTAGTATGTCAACGTACTTCTTTTGTTATCCATTGAAGACTATCCCGTTATGATAAGTTCGTCGAGTATGCCAAGTGATTGCCTGCTGCAAATACCTACTGTAAATGATCAAAACAGAAAATAGACAAACTGAATTTATAGGCGCTAAGACAATCAATAACATCTAAAAAATATGATCCATATAGTAGTAAGTATAACAATTATGAAATGACTGAAGAAGGAAATATGGACCATTAGATTCTGGCCCAGCGG